AGGCTCCGAGGTCCCACAGCACTGGCCATGAGCATTTGCTGCCTGCTCCTCATGCCAGTCAGTGAGCATCTCTCGTTTCGTAGAGGAACAGACTAAGGACCAGGAGCTGATGTGTTTTGCTGCCCATCAGGCAATCAAGATAAAAGAGAGGTATAGACTTGCCCTCTTTACTCTTGGCCAAGGGGACACCAATGTCACCTCTGTAAACCCAACCTTCACCCCCTGGCATGACTTGCCCAGTTTTCTCCCATGAAGATTGTGCTCAGACTGCCTCTAAGGGCTGAAGGAGAAGGATCATCTGAAGCCCTGCAGAAGTTCAGATGGGGCTGAATGGCTGTCCTCGAAAACTGGCCCAGTCCAGAAGGAAACAGAAGGGCCCTTACTGGGCTGTGCAGAAAATCAAAAAAGCTTTGGGTTTTCCACTTCTGAGGAAAAATAAAGCTTCATATTTTAATAATAGCCCTTGATATTTTCCCAACACTGAGTCTCACATCTGCACCAAACACTTCCGTGACACACACACACACACACACACACACACAAAGCATGCATGCACCCATCACATGATTCAAAGAAGGGGTCTGGAGGACCCCCCTGGCCCCATACCTTGCAGGACCATCTCAGCACCTGGGGGCACAGAAGCTTGACAATAGCTCCTCACCTCCATGTGGGGCTGGCTCTGCTGGGGGCTCTGGCCCTTCCCACCCAGGTTGGGAGGCAGGTTTGGCAGTGGCTCAGTGGAGTCTGGGCCCCCACTTGGACAGAGAGGTCAAAGTCCCAGGGACCCAGCTGGCAGTACAAGACAGATGGAGAGTGGTAAGAACGGCTTAAGGGACCCAGAGAATTCAAAGACAGAAGAGTCCACCCTCTCAACTCCCAACTTTAAGTGGTCTCTGTAAGATTCTTTAAGAGCAAGTGGTAAACATTTAAGGGACAGATTGAAAGTAATGTTGGGGGCGGGGGGTGGGAAGGAAGTGTGCTAGACAGAGTGCCATATTCTCATGGCAGGAGGCCTGGCAGGCTTGGGGCCCTTGCCCCATGGGCAATACCTTGGCTGAGATCACAGCTGCAGAAAGGATGCTATGCTCAGCTTTGGGCACCATCATGCCTGCTACAGCTGTCCCTCTAACCAAAGGCCTGAGATTGTCTGACATATTCTTGTCTGGTCTCCTGGCCTAGGCTACCTACTAGGCAAGGCTTCCCCCTCCCCAGACCCAATTCAGGAAGGGTTTGTGGGGAACATCAGTGGAACCTCAACTTCTGCCAGCTATAAAACAGGTTCTAACCACCTGCTCAGTCTGCTGGAACCAGGACTTGGCGTGGGACACTAAAATGCCAAGTGGTCCAGAATCGGGCATGTTCAAGAGGCATCTTGGCTCAGAATCCCCACTTTCAAGCAAAAGGGAGAAAGGTAGCCAGAGACTCCCAGGGGATCCTATGAAAACATGTTTCTGAGGCTCACACATCTAAGGGGGAATAGCCAGGGGGCATGGCTGTCTGTGGCTGGGGGCGCTGCCCAGGAAAGCAGGCAGCAGAATGAGGGCGGCAAAAGCAGCAGAGAGGGAGGAGGTGCCTTCATGAGTAAGTGTGTTTGTGGCAGGGCCACTTCTTGGTAGGAGGGAAGGAGCCAAGGAGAAAAGTATGTAGACATACCAAAAAGGGAAAAGGTACCCAGAGTGGAAGACTCCTACTCTACCAGACTCTAACTGCTAAGAAAAAGACCTTTTGTTGATAAAACGAGTTGGCTGGAGATGTCGGGCTGCCATAGGCAGTGCACCTCCAACCTACTCCATCAGTAACATCCCCAGCTGAGTCACACCGCACCCATGCACCTGGTGGCAAATGAGCTCCAGGACTCAGGGGCTGGGACTCCACCTTCCCCAGGCTCCTCCGCTCCATGCACCTCCTAGCAAGGACCAGCTCTGGTTAGATTTAGAGGGTGGGGGGTGGGGCACAGGTGGGGACATGAGGAGCTCAAGTTGGGAAAGAAGCATCAGCTGGAGAGGGAGGCCCAGCTGGGGCTGGAGGAGGGCCCAGCCCTGGGCCAGTCACTTTAAGGTGTCGTCGGCGTTTTTGAACATGAGAATGGCGTTATAGATCTTCAAGGCTGGGCCCAGCTTGACGCTCATGATCTTCACAATGTCCGCCTGTGTCAGCAAAAGGAAGGCCTCGCCGTCAATCATCTGAGGGGTTGGGGAGGTGGAAAGCGGAGAAGGTGGAAAGGGTCTCAGGGAAGAGGGGAAGGAGAGGTGGGGATATGTGTGGGGAGGGAGAAAGAAAACGGGAGTAAAGGACATGTTGGGGGAAGGGAAGGAGGAGAGAAGGGGAAGAAAGGACAAGGAGAAAGGAGAAGGGAGGGAGAAAGGAAAAAAGGAAGATAGCAATGGGGACGGAGAAGNACAAAGAGAGCGGGGGAGGGAGGCTGTGTGGAGCTAGGGACTCAGCAGGCGACCCCATGTCTGAGGAGGTGCCATCCTGCTATGCTCAATCCTCATGAATCATAGCAAATAAAACCCTTCTATGTTGTTTCCGATGCGCCAGGAACTACTCTTAAGCACTTGTCATATATTAACTCATTTATTCCTCACAGCAACCCTACCAAGCAATACCATTATTAGTCCCATTTTACAGATGAGGAAACTGAGACAGAGAGGCTAAGGAATTTGCCCAAAATAGACCTGGCTTGTAAGTGCTGGCCTGTGCCTTCGAGCCCCATGAGTGCCAGGCAGGGGCTCCTGTGTACACAGTTCAAGCAGCTCAGTGGGTGACGCCTCGAAGGCTGGCCCTGCCCACTGTTCCATACAAACCCTCCTGACCTCCAGCTCCACAAAATGAGTTACAGACCCTTCCCCAATCTCTGGGCATTTTCTGCCTTGGGCCTCTGCTGCCCTGCCTGGCAGGCCTTCCNAGAAGGTGGAAAGGGTCTCAGGGAAGAGGGGAAGGAGAGGTGGGGATATGTGTGGGGAGGGAAAAAGAAAACGGGAGTAAAGGACATGTTGGGGGAAGGGAAGGAGGAGAGAAGGGGAAGAAAGGACAAGGAGAAAGGAGAAGGGAGGGAGAAAGGAAAAAAGGAAGATAGCAATGGGGACGGAGAAGGAAAGAAAGATAGCCACTGGATTCCCCGTGCTCACACCCACGTGTTCTCTCTCTCACTTGCTCTCTTTCTGCTGACTGGTCTGGGTTTCAGAGTTTGTGTTCACTAAATGTCTTTTGAGTCTCCATGGACAGTGGTTTCAAAAAACCTGCTGCGGTTGTCCCCACATGATCCCGCTGGTCAATTTTAGTGCTGCTAACAGCGAGACCAGCAGACACTAGGTGCACTCCGACATGATGCAGTGCGGAGTACGCACTGTTACCTAGGAGCTATTCTTGGGAGTGGGGGGCGGATTTAACCTGAATCTAATTAAGCCTTTGGATCTAACTTCCAGTTTATTGGAAATACAGGGAATAGAGGAACAAGTTAAGCAACATCACAAGGAAAACGATGAGACATATCTAGGAGGACACATTTTGTAAGACTGTTAAAAATGTCATGAAAAAAGAGAAAGAAAAAAAAAAAAAAGCAAGAGGGGGCTATTCTAAAAGAGAAGAAACCAAAACAAATTATGTGGGCCTTGTTTGGATCCTGGCTCAGGAACTGCAGAAAATATTCTAAGACAACTGGGGAAATTTGAATATAGACTGGGTGTTGGATGATATAAAAGAGTTACTGTCAGTTTGCTAGTGGGGATAACAAACTTGTGGTTATGTAAAGGCCTTCGTTTTTAGAGATGCAAGCTAAAGTGCTCGGGGGTGAAACGTCATGTCGTCTATAATTTTCTTAAAATTACTTCATCCAAATATAGGTGAAGCAAACATGGAAAATGTTGGTAACTTAATTCTCGGGGACAGGTAGATGGGTAGAGATGGGGAAGGAAGAAGCCAGTTGTGGAGAAGGGGGTGAGACAAAGAGAGCGGGGGAGGGAGGCTGTGTGGAGCTAGGGACTCAGCAGGCGACCCCATGTCTGA